TGAAAGATTGCCGGGGCCGACTTAACGCCAAATGGTAGGCGTGTATACTAGAATGGTCCTCTGTGAGTGTTAATCGCTAGCAACTCACGCGATTCTTCTGACATTTCAACCCAGAGATATGCGTGTGACAAGTCCAGTTTGACAAAACACTTGCCACTGTTCGGACGTGCAGAAAGGTCCTCAGGGAGGGGTAGAGGGTATTTGTGGTCTTCTAAGGCGGCATTCAGGCCAGTAGAGTAAACTGCATATAAGCGTATCTCCGTTTGGTTTCTTGACAATCACAATGGGTTTGATAACTCCCGTTGATTGTAATCTGTCAAACCACTGCATATGGAACTGGTCTTTTAGGTCGGAAGACTGGCTTTGCTTCTGGCCGCAGGGCAAGATTGGTCTTGGTTTTCGTGCACAATCCCAGACCATCTTGAAACGCCTGCGAATATTTCCGCTGTAAAGACTCCATCCACTCTGCAAATGCGTCACTTACTCTGTTGCACACGGAATTCAAGGGAACGTTAAGCAGTTTCATATTCCCAATCCAATCGAGACCGAGTAAGTTAAGATCAGGATGTCACGTTATGTAACATCCCTATGAACTGACAATCTTTGAACATTATAGGACAACAGATTTTACCGGCCAAGTCGCGGGCCTCCTGAAGCGTTGGTTGCAATCTGAGTTGTTCTTTGTACAGGTGATTCACCGATTTTCTTCCAAGTTGTCTTGGAAATGAGCGGGATGTCTGAGGCAGTGTCAACTTGGAGGCGTACGGGCACTTGGTTCACAACCACTGTTACGAACCTGCGTTTTGCGGTTCCTGTATCGAAGGTAGCAAAGACAGGATAAATCTATGGTCTTTGTTTTGCTAACGATTTGAGTACAAACGTCTTGGCAAGTTTGGTGTAAGTGTTCTTGTTGCAAATGGTTGCACGGCGGTGATCCTCCTTGTGCCCCCCGTTTGTTGCATTTCTGACAAAGATGCTTCTTGGACGAGCAGAGCTTGACGAAGTGCCACATTGTCAGCATGCGGATGATGGTCTGTTTGACTTCAATTACTTTTGGACCGTCGCTGTACTCCCGCGCTGGTTTAATGCTACTAACACATCCACGGGGCATGGACTGTGGCCTTGGGCAATCATGTTCGTATCGTGCTTCAAGCTGATTAACCTCTGGCATTCGGAAGTGATGGACATGAGATTGATGGACGGGTCCTGCTCAAATTTGTTAAGCAGTCTCATGCGTATTTCGGCATCCTCGGGCGCTTGGAGACCACGAACGAAAATTAAGGCCTTGAACTGGTCGTCTGACATCTCTTTTAGCCTGAAACGCTCGCAATGACGATTGACGGTACTGGCGAAAGTTAGGAAATCGTCTGCCGCGCAGTTAATGAGCTTCATGCAACTGTATCGGATGCTGAGTAAGGGAGGCTGTTCACCAGAAATATCATGTAACAGAGGTACCAGTTGGTCAAAGGTAAAATCTTTGGGGCATTTTGGCAAAATAAAATTGAGAAATTTGTCATCCTCCTTGGTCCCCTCTTCCGCAACCGCAGTCTGCACTTCCATCCGTCGTCAACATCAGTGAATTCGGACCGGAAAACGTCTTCGTATCTTCCGAACCAAGATTCGAAGGTTAGGCTGGCATCCTGGTCATACTGAAACTCACAAATGCTGTTCGCAATCGCATCCGCTGGTAATTGCTGCTTTTCATTGGTTGGTCATGCTTGAACCGCAAAACCCTGAAGGATATTTTCGAGCCGTTGTGTGGCTTTCTTCAAATTGCTTCGGTTTATGTTGAAGTATTGCGGTAATTTGCTCCACTGAAAACGACATAGTTCGTCGTATCCAATCAACCCATGCCATCTCCGTCACCAGTTGTTAAGCCAGACGAAAACAGAAAAACGGAGCTGTGTAATAAGATGATTATTTGCGTAGGTCTCAAAAATACTCACAACAGGACGTGCGAGTGTGGCGATCATTAACCAGCTGACCGCGCTGTTCGCAAAAATTTGGCATGAAGAGAAAGTGCCTTCTTCTTGGGGCGAATCATTTATTGTCCCGATTTTCAAGAAAGGCGCTCTCACTTCATGTGCAAATCATCGCGGTTTCCTCTAAGCTATTGGCGTCCATTCTACTTCGCAGACTATCCCCAATACGTGAATCATACTACCGTGAAGAACAAGCTGGTTTCCGTCCTGGCTGCGGACGCGTGGATCAAATCTTCAGTCGCATGCTCTATAAAGTTTCCAACATTTTGGCCTAGAGCTTCTACCGGGTGAGCGCGCGATCGACTTAGATGATGATATCGCCTTACTCGGTGACGATCCTCAGGGTATGAAACTCATTCTGGATCGTTTGGCAGTTGAAGCATCTAAGTATGGCATGAGCTTCGCCCCATCGAAGTGTCAAGTACTGCTCAAGAATTGGCTTTCACCTGCTCCCATGCTCACTGTCGAAGGTGCACAACTTGAGCAGGTAGATAGTTTCATCTACATTGGGAGCTGTGTTCCTGCTGACAGCACTATTAACCAAGAAATTTCACTTCGTATCGCTAAAGTTCGATCAGCATTTGTCAATCTGAGGCACTTGTGACGTCGTCGCGACGTCTCATTCTCACTAAAGGACCGCGTTTACAGCGCATCAGTTCGCTCAGTATTGTTGTATGGGTACAAGTCCTGGCCAATTCGCGTGGAAGACATGCATCGTCTTTATGCCTTCGATAACGGTTTCTTAAGGAGGATCGCTCCTGTTTGGTGGCAACATCGGGTTAACGGTAATGACGTTCGACGTGGCATCTTGGGTACTGCGAGTATTCCCTTCAACAAACTGGTTTTGTTGCGCTCGGTCACGTCCTACGCATGGCACCTGAGCGTCTACCGCGTCGCGTTCTATTCGCTCATCAAGGACCTGGTTGGAGGCGACCGCGTGGTGGTCAGCCTTCCACTTGGCGGCAGCACATGAAATCGCTGATGTTGTGTCTAGCCGCTATTAGATTCGCACGTCTTCGAGGATGGGGACTCAAAGATGAGGAGTGCCAATGGCCCGCAACCGGAATCATTGGAAGGTTTGCGTACAGTACTGTATTGATTCACATGTTTAATACTACAAACATTGAAAATGACAAAAAAAGAAGAAAAATCGGCGCCACCTCGATTGGTGGCGGCTTGCAAATGAAGTCGTAGCTCTGGGGGCCAGCCCTGTCCTCTGCACATTCATCCCATGCAAGACAGTGGAGGATGAGCCGCGCTATATCGCAGTTAGATATCAGTCATGGCGGTCCGCTGCCCTCGCCCATGGCTCAGTGACATAAGTCGCTGACTCGCAAGAGTAAGGTCGTGGGTTCGAATCCGGCAGGATTCGGCGGGTGTGTGCTACTGACGAGTCCCAATAGGACGAAACGGCCGTCTAGCGCTTTCCTGGATGTGTGGTGGCTGTCTGTCTGTATCTAACTGCGACGAATCTACACAAAAACCTAAAAAATCCCCCTACTGCTTACAAAAATGTTTTGTTCTACTTTTTGTCAAAATGTTCCATTCTTCCTGCGGCATATCAGCTGAAGTGTGTTGCTCACCTTCAATTACCATACCACCATGATTATGACGCGATGACGGTCACTTATCCGCTGATCTCCATGGTTTTATATTGGCTCTGTGTCTAGTTGATAGACTGCTGAGATTATTACTACTACTACTACTACTGCTACTTATCTTTCACCTTGAAAAGTGTACTTCGAATTGTTTCCGCTGGTTGATGGGCAACATTGACTCCAAGAGGCAACATAGGTCTCGCTTCTACTGCAGAGATACTGTTGAAATAAGGCAACATGGCACTCTTCCAAGCTGTTGCGTTTGTTGGTGTGTGTTGTGCTTCTTTCAGCGGTGATAAGAACAATGAAACCTTTTGGGTATGAGTTCCGTTTGATCGAGCTGTGCTCTCCCTCTTTGTTTCAGTTGCAGTGTGTTCTCGCTCTTTGTCAGTATTATTAAGAGGCTACGCTTGTGGATTGTCGAATGATAGTTATCTTTCAAGATCTAACCCGTATACGTTGATTTTCGATAAACTCTCGTCTCCAGTGGTTCAGCAGCAGTCCATTACATCACTCGTTATTCTCGTTTTCATTAGTGAATTAGATACATTTGTACGTCATTAATTGGTTCTAGTGTCTCTTCCAACTCCGTACCGTCGAAGGTGACAAAGGCGTACCCAAAGTTTTGGTTTCGTGATTGGGATGCGCTATCCATTTCAGCGCTTGCATCACTGTTCCCGCCATCAATCCAGAGATCGGCGATCCCAAGTGTTTGCATCTGTGTGCACATTTGGCCATCGAAAGTGAAATGCGCTACCTTGCACCGCCAAAGGCAACACAGCACACACCAACAAATGCAACAGTTTGGAAGAGAGCCATGTTGCTTTATCCCAACCGTATTTCTGTAGGAGCAGCTAGACCTACGTTGCCTCTGGGAGTCAATGTTGCCCATAAACCAGCAAAAGCAATTCGAAGTACACTTTTCATGATGAAACAAACTTAACAAATAGTGCACACCTGGTGTGATATACAGGATCTGCTATCGAAGCCGCGACAAATACTACGTAGGAGAAGTAGGAAAAAACCTTGGCACATGAACACAATCTAGCCATTCGCTATCACGATCAGAACACCCTGATGTCTGTGCGTATGGATGCCGAAAATCACCAATTCAACCTAGAGCATGTCAAAACCTTCGGAAGAGTAAAAAACCGGCAAGCACGTGAGTTCATCGAAACCTGCCATGCAAAGCAGAACTTGGTCCGTAAGCACTTGGACCTCGAAGTCGCTCACAAGACTGGGAACTAGGCCCTTGTATCTGAATCGATGATGTTGTCTATCGCGTCAAGGAAACGTACGCAAACCAATCGGCCAGCTCGGAGAACGACGTAAGTATCACACAATATAGGGACATGAGAATGCTTATACTGCAGTTGGTAGTATGCCTGATTAAAGTACGTTTGCTTCTTATTTCACGTAGGTAGTTCGCGAAGCTTATGAACGCCAGATTGCTTGCGACCAGTCTAAAGAAAGCTTCATGAAAAGTGCGCCCGGCAGAAATAGCTTTGCAACTCAGTTGGAAAGTAATCATGGCCTGGTACATCTGGAAGCCTTAGAAATGATCAGCGATCGAGCGGAATCTCAACTTTACATTCTTCTGTCTAAAGCGGCAGATAAATTATCACTCCACAACGACCTATTAGAATCCATATGGACGGCGTTACAGCTCGACTACGAGGGTGAATCCGAAGAGACGTGCAAATTTCCAAATGTGACTGAGCTAAACTCCTTGGCTGAACAGGATGTTCCTCATGGTGGTGGGAGCTGTCTGCGTCCGAGCAACTTACCCGAGCAGTACATGTTGCTTTGGAACACGTTCCAAATTACCTTAGAGAAGCTGAAACCAGTTCATCCAACGGAGCATTTGATGGGAGTAAGTTAAAGTGACCTTTCCTGGAGCGCTTGTGTGTCCATACCCAGATTCGTATGCTCGTTTCTTTTTTGTTTTATATCAGATAGTTGTCAATATATGGAACGGGATAGAGCGCGACCGAACGGAGCCAGAATCACAAGTACGTGGTTCATTTATTTTACAATGTTTATGCAGTTTTCGGCAGTAAAAACCTTACGACCGACCGGCGAACGAGCAGCTATCCCTCGATAACTATTTCAAGGTGTGCAATATCTTTGCCTCAGTTACTGAAGTGGATCTTTTGTCTCATTGCGTTGGTCAAAACGGGTTTTATACAATTCGAGACTCGCTTAGAACCACAATCCTGGGTCTTGCACTTATACTTAGCTCATCTTAATCCTTCATTAACCCAGTCCGTCTTCCAGTCAGCAATTGCGGCCCTGGCCAAAGCGACCTCCGCCGATCTGGAGTACCTGCACAAGATGTCCGAATGCGTTCTTGTTCAAATTCAAGGGCAACAGACAGATCCCATCTCCCTCGCGTCAGTTACCGCATCGTGAGTTAACTCGATCGTGTTTCTGAGTTGGCCGTATCTTCTTTCACTCATCTATTTGGCTGAGTTCCATAACACTCAACGTGAAGACTGTGGTGCCACATTGGAGTACATTTCGATGCTTGTGAAAACTCAACAAGTAACTAATGTGTTCTTTTCTACTATCCTCTTCCCATTACAGGCTTATCCACACATCAATTTTACTGAACAGTGCAATGTGTGACGTCTACATCAAAATTATCAAATCTGTACGTTATGTGCTAGCATGTATTCGTTTGAGATTATGTACAAGTGTGTGTTCACTCTGTAGCTAGTTTGCACACGTTTGGATGTCGCAGTTAGTCTGCACATCGGCCAAGGTGTTGATACCACCCTATCATTATCCGGTTTTGCACGAAAACGTTTTGGCCAGTTTATTGGTAAACTTTCTTCCCCAGCCTCAGTCTTGATGGACGAACGTATTTGTTCATTCTTCGTTCCTCGCATGGTCTTGTGTTTTAGTGCATGATCCTAGCTGTCGTATGAGTAGCTCGCCAAAGGAAATTTGATGCATATTCATTGCATCGTCCATGGGGATACAAGGCAGTTGTAAACTAGCGCTTATCTCCATAGAGATCTTGTCAATGACAGTATCTTGCGGCGAATTTCGATCAGCTATCTGCGCCTATACCTTCTCCGAGGGAACATAGCAACTAGCTACCTGGCGGCGGGGAATGAAGCGGCTGACCATCATACTGAGTGATGTTTGTCAGCATCACCTGTCCGCTTGATATCTACGCGATTTGCTCAGTGCTTTGTCCGCAATTTATAGAGTACAGCTCGCAAATGACATTGTTGCTTTTTGTTTTCGCCTCATATTTTTCAGTCTTTTCCGCACTCATTCCTGCGGTGGGTTGGCAGTGACGCTTGACAGTGAAGGCTCCGCCGATGCCACCTCATTTTGGGGTGATACTCACTTGTTTGATTGCACGATGTTCGTGAGATGTGGCTGCTCTGATCCCGAACAACTGTCTATGACATTTGTTGGGTCCCTTCCTCTACTTTTTAGTGACTACCAGTATAGTTATCCCACATTTTTTGAGTGCAAGGTGGTGGAGCACCAGCACAACGCGCAGTTGCTGATAAGTACGAAGTGTATACTAGTGTCCAGGATGGTCGCAAACCGCTTAATTAAACGCTATAAAAGCAACGCAATCTTGCGGTTCCGTGTTGAGGATCAGTAGTTTTCAGTGTTATATAGTCAACACGTCGTTTCAAGTGTCCATGTTTTTGTTTTAGCTGCACAGCACAACGGGCGACGATCCCGATCGGCAGCCTGTGTCTCCAGATATGCGACCCAGTCAACTGGTAGCGAGTTTGATGCTAGAGTGCAACAACGCAGAAGACTACATGAAGAATGCTGCCCGTTTGCTAATCCCTGTCCTTCAGCTGGCGTATGTCAAGTGCCACCTAGCAGACTGAACCCTCGGTGATGAATACCGCTTGTCTTTCGCTTTTAACCCCTATAAAATACAACAATATTCCTCCACGCTTCCATTTATTTTCACCTAACCAACTCCGATAGCCCAGCAAGTGAAGCCTTCACAAAGTTTTCCGTTCGAAACATTTGCAAGATGATCGACATACGGAGCAGGCAACTGAGGCGTATTCGCGGTACTTGTCGGCCGATTTTGTTTCACTGATTAAGCCAGTATGAACGCGCATCGGCCACCGGATATAGTACGTTGCTTTAGTTAAACTGTAACACGCCGCGATTTCTACAGTTAAATCGCGGAAACCTCGATCACTGGAATCGCGCTCACTCTATCAAAAGTTATTATAATCTGGATCATTTTTAGGTGCTGTCTGCTCAAATGCGGTCCAATTGATTAAAAATTTGTTTCAACGCGAATCTCATTCCTGATGATGAACGCCTGTAGCACTCCACTCACACAACCAGTATTTTAAAAAAGGACCTCCCTAATATCGTAATGTAATTCGTCACGGATAGCTCCATACTTGATTGGAATTTCTGCACAGTTGAGCTGGTACTGGACTGTCATTTCAACACATCCAACGTATAGCTGTGCGGATTATATGGTTCGATCGGAGTACACACTCACAGTCAGTAATGTGTTCATCCAGTGCAGTACTGCTTGTCTGCAACAAGGCATTACGCCTTTTGGGATTATCTAGACAGGAACACCCTGTTCGAGACCTAAACCGAACTGTGTTATAATAAGAATAACAAACGATATCAGATTTAAACTGAGTGTTGCCCGCCCGAAAACACTGCAGTGTTCGCACTGAGATTTCGCGTCACAATCTATTCACACAGAGTAATTCGACGTGCGAGAAGCTGGGTCCATACTTAGCACAGATCGTGGTGCACAAAGCATCTATTGCCAGCTTCCCGGTGACTATAATCAACAACTCGGTATCTGGGCTTGGCGGAAAACTGCGTTCCAGTTCAAAAAGACAAACGTAGCGTCTCCATCATGCCTTCTGGGTCCATGATATTTTGATAACGCTGGTTCTGCGCATAGAGGTACAGACCGTAGCATACCGTGCACAGATTGCCATCAACATTCAACCGACCTACTCGTTTATTCACAGCTATGCATCAGACAGGTATAGAAGACATCCGTCGCGCAAGTGACCCACACTTCCTTCAGTAAACTACGAATACCGCAGATTGCTCTGAGCCCGGCTTAGTGGGTGTCAGTGTTATCGTACAAACAGATTTGTTGTAACGCGATAATGGTCTATAGGATCGAAGCCAACAAAGCATGCTTTTGGGTGCCTCGCAGAGAGAAACTAAGCAACTTCAGCTAAGGGACAAAGCTTAGTGGATGAGTATAGTGAAAACAAAACCAGGTGTTGATTACGCAGAGATTTCCCAAGCGGTGAATTTGAGAGTCATTAACTATAGTCCTGTCAGAGTTAAGTCTTGTGGAGCAAAGGTCGCGACGTTTTTTTCATTATGATATGATGGACGCAAACGGTCTGTTGCGACAAGGTATAAATGTTGGAGAGAAAATGGAAAGCAGTATGTGAGTTGGTAGTAACAAATAAATGATCAGCATGAATAAGAATAGTTTGGACACAGGGTCACCGCTTTTTCCGACGCCGGCTCGAGCTCGCAGGGGGATGGATGGAAATTTCGCTGTTTTCTAATTCGCTTGCGGTGAGCTAAAAAAAACAGATAGATTCAGCGTGTATTTATGGACTAATATCCGATTGATAGATACTCAACTAAAATGAGCCACCGATAACCACTAGTGGTAACATGCAGACACGGATTTGATGGGGTATGGCACCGCTAATCTAGCTGTAAAAATCATGATCTCACTAAAGCCAATAGCGCTTTGCGCTAAGGAACCGCACTGTTCATGACATCATAACACAAAGTTTATTAGGAAAGTGGTATCTCTACTGAAGTGGACACATGCCAAAGTGAAGCGCAATGATTATTTCGATGAGATTCGATAATGGGTGCGCATAACTTTTGTTCATTTATCGAACTGCGGTAAACAAAAGGGAGAAAAAATCATGTGTCCGAGAGAAAATTTTATGCAGTCTATGCAGTGCAGCACTTTGAAAACGGGACAAAAAACCCTGGAGATAATTCGCGCTTTCATCGACCTAACATCTTTGATTGCCTTCAATTACTACCAACACAAAGTAACGATGCTGGTGTAAATCCGACGAGATTACCACCTGTCGACAGGTATGTTTCGTTAACA